TTTAATAGTAAGCTGGCTAGAGAACTTATTCTGTTTTATAGCTAGATCTGCAGGAATGCTACTGTTCCAAGTTCTTGTCTTTGCTTGCCAAACAATCACAGCAGCTGAGATAATTAAGTTAATTACATTTAAGGCACGATTTTCATGGGTGAAATCGCTTGTACAATTATTTAGATAATGTTGAATGTAATGAAAATTGTTCAGATCATCTTTTCTCAAACTATATGTGTCGTACCTAAATTGCCAACAATTTTATTTCCCATTGTAATGTAAAAACAAGGTGGTAGATTAGAGTAGCAGTAAGTAGTAAAACCAATGGCAATACTATGGCAGTTATCTAGTTCAAAAGAACTGAATAAACATCAGGAATAGAATTCAAAAGTATAAGCATCAATGTCAACAGATAAAGAACATCATTGCTGCTGTCCTGATTTGACCGTGAAAATGACACCTATGGAAAGCAACTGATGTGGTGTGGATAAATGACTAAATGTAGCAGAGCATTTCCTAAATGCCTGTGGGAATGTGGATCAATTTCACAAAGCACCCCTCAGAATGTTAAACTAATCATATAATCAGTAAAGACAAACTGATGTGTGGGAGAAACAATGTCAACTGTTTTCAATATGCATTCCATGGTCTGTTTAAGTATTTGACAATATCACTTGTCAGACATGGCATTTTAGAACCCCACTGGTTCCCTTAAATAGGAGCAGGAGTAGGCCGTTCAGCCTATTGAGTCTGTTCCACCATTCGATGAGTTCATGGCTGATCTGTGATCTAACTCTATTTAATTGCCTTTGGCCATTATCCCTTAATACCTTTGCTTAACAAAAAAAAATCTGTCTCTGATTTAAAACTAACAACTAATCCAGCATTCACTACTGTTTGTGAAAGAGAATTCCAAGCACCTACCATACTTTCAGTGTAAAGTGTTTTGTAACATCTCTCCTGAACAGTCTGGTCCTTATTCTCAGACTGTCCCCTAGTTCTACAATCCCAAACAGTGGAAATAGTTTATTTACCCTTTGATCAGATCACCCCTTCTAAATTCTAGAGACGATGTAACAGCTCAATGAATGAATTACTTATTTTGTAATGAAATGCTTTTGGTGCGTTCATCCATCAATCAACATAATAATACACCATGAATTGATATAGACTGAAATTGTTGGTTTCGGACTTGCTGTGCAATATAATTGAAAGGTTAATGACTTACTATACTCAGTTGTTAATTACACTAGTATCAGCCTTGTTTTATTTTATGATCCAAGCTTGCAAGGAGCATTAAAAGGAAGTTTCTTGGAGTGTTACTAATTATATACTACATCATTTGTTGATGGGCAGCTTGAGTCTCAACTGAAAATGCCTAGGTTAGTGCACAAGAAGAAAGGAAGAGTAGAAATAGGACCAGGAGAAGACAATATGGCATCTCGAGCCTGCTATAACATTGAATATAATCATGACTGATCCTCAACTTCAACACTGCTTTCCTGTCCACTCCCATTACTTTTATTCACTAAGCATCTAAAATCATTCTATTGCAAGCTTAAATATATTCAGTGTTAATGCATTGGTAACTTCTATGGTAGAGAATTCAAAGACTCTCAACCTTTGGGTTTGAAACATTTCTGCATATTCTGGTTCTCAATGTTCAATATCTTATCCTATGGCTGTGATCTCATGCTTTAGATTGCCCAGCTACTGGGAGCAATCTTTGTGTCTACCCTGTTGAACCCCTTCAGAAATTTGATCATCTCTCATTCTTTGAAACTGAAGAGAATATTGACCTGATGAACTGAGCCTCCCATTATCAGAAAACCTTGTCATCCCATAAACCAATCTGCTGAACCTTCAGTGTGCCACCTCCATGTAAAGGTTATCCTTCCTTGGATGTTGAGTCTGCAATTGCGCTTAGTACTCCAAATGCAAATATTTTCCAAAATACTCATGGTTCATAAACCAAGTAGACACTCAGATAAAATGCAGTACTTAACATTGGATAAAATATTCACTTTACTGACGTTTTGTTCTGATAGTGTGTAGGTGAATAAAGTATTCCATATTTTATGGTTCTGTACTAAACAGTCCCATATATTCACTACCACCAGCCAGTCCTGTGAACCAAACTTACAGTCCCCACACTGAAGGGTATCTTTACCACCCAAAAGCTAATTAAACAGTTGTGTTGCCTCAGAATTGTAAAGTGAACATCTTTGTCCTGTAATCATGCACATGTTCCCTTTTGCGTTTTCCTGTCATTACAGAAATCTGACATAAAAGCATTCTACTGAGACAAAACACAATTATCAACCAACAAACTAATTTATTTTGCATAGAATATGTGAATGAAAGAGATGTTTTCCCAGTGAGAAATATTTGTTTCTTATTCCATTTTATAACATGCGATACCAAACCATGCATTCCAATGGACTTTGGCGGATGGCAGGTTAAGGTATGGAGGGTACATTTACAAGCCACTAGACTCTCAACTCACTGACAACAACTTCTTGTCTGTCAGGCTGTATGTGTTCTATACCAAAGATCTGAGTCTCATTGGCTTCTTGAACACATTGTGTCTCCCAGTGCTTCAGATTATCAGACTTTTCTGTCAACAGATAGAAATAGACAAAGAATGATCTCTGACTGTTTACTCTCTGTGTAATGAAGATTGGTTTGCTGAGCTACCATTCAAGGTTCTTAAATAATTTTCCCTCCTCCCTCTGGTGTGGACGTCCCTGTCACTTGTATTGTGTGATTAGCTAAGCTACTTGGCAGTTGTATTCAAGGAGAAAAACCCATTCTAACTGTAAAGTACAAATCTGCTATGAGATACGTTCAAAGAATTACCAGTGAATTAACGTTAATGCAACATGCATAATGTGATGGCTGTTCTGGTAATAAATTGAACAAAACAGCCATTAAATACTGCGCTTTATCCAAGTGCTTACTTGGTTCATGAGTCATGAAAGGTGTATAAGTATATTTAATATATAAATATAATTTTGGAGTTTGGATTTCAAATAGTTCCATATAGGTGTTGATTACTTTTGTGAAGAGTTTTCTTTTGAAAAAAACAAGGTCAGAGATCTTTCTAGAATAGTGATCTAATCCAATATGTGGCAGAGAGTGGTTGACTGCACATTCCTGTGGTGTTAATGGCAAGTTGTTTGTGGATATTTTAATCAACCTGTTGAGATGTGTTATGACACACCTCTGGAGCAGGTTGCAGCATTGACTTCTGGTTCCAGAAGATGCTGCCATGCTGAGACCTTGGAGGCCTGTGCAGAGGAAAAAAGATTAGCAGGAATGCTGGGTGGAAGTTGGACCCAGACCTCTGGTTCAGAAGTAAGGACACCACCACTACATCACAAGAGTCCTTGCAACAATCAGGAAAGGTGATTATACTGTGATATTTATGACAGGTAGAATAACACATAAAGCTTTGTTTTCAGTTCAGGTGAATCTAGCACGAACATGTTTTATATTAAAAATTCTGTTCAAAAAACATGTTGTCCCGTTCAGAAGACACCAGCATTGAGTTTAGAAGCGAGTTTAGTTTCCTTCTCTTAGAAGAAAATTAAGGGTAGTTTAGGAGTAAAGTTACCACAGCAAAAGGATTTAGTTTGTGAAACTTCTAAACCAGGAGGCTTTAGTTAGAAATTTGCAGGTTACTAGAACTGGAAAAGTTTAGGCTCTCAGTTTTATTGAAAATTTCACAGTGCAAGGCAGAAACTTTCAGGAGTCAGGTAAAAAGAACCCTAAAAATTCGAGATATGGTTGTAATTTCTTTAGTGTTGAGTTTTTGTAAATAAATGGGTTGCAACTTTGTTTTACTGTGTGTTTTAGATCTTGCAACTGTCTTCCATATTAAGATTGTCTTTTATTAAATATTTTTTGTAACGAACCTCTGTTGTTAAAGAAAGTCAGCAACCTCATGTGATTTTGCCTGTAATTAATAACTTTGAGTTAACTAACTTTAAAAAGAGCATATGATCTACGAAGCCAGGTTTCATTCTGGAATCTGACTTGGCCAGTAGTACTAACAGGTGGGATCGTAAAACTATCGAATGCCAATTGGTATTATTTTAGTTCTTTGTTGAAAAGCTTTTTGGGACTGTACGAAGTCACACTGTATAGAAGTAATGGCAGAATTTGCATTTATACAATAACTTCTAACATCCTTATTATGTACAGAGTGCTTTGCCACCAGTTAATTACTTTGGAAGCTGACCTTTGCATTGTAAAATCAATTGGGTAAACATGTTGATCAAAGCTCAGTTTGATCTTGATATAATTGTTTTGCCCAATACAAAACTGGCCCAAATGGCTCATTAGTTTAATCACTGCAGCATCTAGTTGAATCTGTTTCAAGAGTATTTTTCACTTTGAATATAATAGGTATTACAAAAGATTTGCAGCATAGACACAGACTATTTAACTTAATTGGTCTGTACCTCCTTGTCAAAACTCTTCATCCAACAATATCAGCACAACCTTCTATTTCGTTTTTCATTTATTTATCTAATATTCTCTAAAAGGCCTCTTTGATGTTGCCTCTAGTACTTCTATGAGTTTAAAGTTCTACATTCTCCCTGCTCTCGGAGTAAAGATATTTTTTCTAGAATTCTCTGTTGAATTTAGTAGCGACAGTCTTATATTAATGACTCCGAGTTTTATATTCCCTTTAAACAGAAAACATTTTTCCAGCTTCTATTTTCACGATTTCTCTCGTCATCTGAGCCGCACCCCACACCCCATTTGTTCAATCTTTCCTGATACATATGACCTCTGAGCTTTACTATTATCCTTGTAAATATCCTTATGCATCTTTCCCGCTCCCTGTATACCATTTGGCTGATTTAGAGACTAAAATTGTGTGTTTCAGTCTCAGTTTGGTCTGTTAAGGGTAACCATAATTTGTCTTTTAGATTTAGTCAGATGTGGATTAAAGGTTTGGTAAAGCTCATTAATAGCCTTGGCTTACCTCTGCCTTTCAGGTATTCATTTCAGGATGAGGAGGATATGTTCATGGTAGTGGACCTCCTTCTGGGTGGAGACCTTCGTTATCATCTACAACAGAATGTTCACTTTAAGGAGGAAACAGTGAAACATTATATTTGTGAGCTGGCTCTGGCTTTGGATTATCTTCAGAGCAGACACATCATTCACAGGTCAGTCACTCAGACCATACAGGAACAATTCTAATGATAACTGAACCATTATACCTGGTACAGTGAAATCCCTTTTGGATATGGTTACTATTAAACAGTATGAAAGGTTGTGTTCAAGAATGGCATAAGTGAAATGCACCACCTTGTTTGGGGCCTGCTCCTTTAGGAGTATTATTGGTAGAATGGAAAATTATCTTTAATAAACTCAACAGATCTACTGAATTAGTTGCTAGTGAAAACCTGAAGTTCATCGGGAAAGGGCCTGATTCTCAAATCTTCTTAGAAATGTAGTTACTTTTCATCAGTGTCAAAACATTGGTGCAAATGGAACTAATACTTCATGACACTAATTATGTAAGTTTACATGCATTCAGTTCTCAGTAAAACATTTTTTGCGATACTGGATTGAATGACAGTCTCCCTTTATCTCACCAAGTACCAAGACTAGAATGCCAATTCACTGTCACTTGGATTCTTTCTTAAAACTTAATTATTGATATTTGTACAGTACCTTAGCTATTTTTGTTTTGTCTGGATGTGCTGAGTTTAGAAATTACAGAAAGCAATGAGGCATATGCAAATTAATATCTGATATTTTAAAGCAAGTACTAGCCATCTTGAATAACAACCCTGTTAAGCTAATGAGAAAGTGACTGGGAGGGGTGGGGGTTGGAGCTGGTGGTGTTCCCATGCCACTACTGTACTTTTTAAAGGTGGTAGAGGTAGCGGTTTGGGTGCTCAAGTATTGAATGGGGTCTAACCATAAGTAGGTGTAGGATTGGACCATATGGTTCATCAAGCTTGCTCTTGCATTGATTATGGAAAATGCTTCAACTCCATTTTCCCCCTGTTTCCCATATTCCTCGCGAGACCAAGTATCTGTTTGTCCAGTCTTAAATATATTCAATGAAAAACACAACCACCACCTTTTAAATGTTCAAAATGTGAGAATTCTAAACGTTCAAAATGCTTCGAATGCAAAAATCTTTCCTCATTTCCATTCGAAGTGCCCATCCCCTTACCTAAGACTGTGTACCCATGTTCAAAGCAAGTAGAAATCATCGCTGTGTTTGCCCCATTGAGTTCCTTCAGAATGTTGTATGTTTTAATAAGATCGCTGTTCATTCTTCTAAACTCTAGAGAATGTAGAGTTAGCTTTTCTGATGAAGGGTCTAGGCCCGAAACGTCAGCCTCTCTGCTCCTATGATGCTGCTTGGCCTGCTGTGTTCATCCAGCCCTGCACCTTGTTGTCTCGGATTCTCCAGCATCTGCAGTTCCTACTATCTCTGATTAGAATTTACTTAGCCTGTTGTAATAGGAGAGCCTTCTCAACCTGCGCACCAATTTGGTGAATGTTTGCTGTATTGTGTCCAATGCAAGTATATCATTCCTTAAATATGCAGACCAAAACTGCATGCAGTATTCCAGCTGTGGTCTCACCAAAGTCCTGTGCAATTACAGCAAGATTTCTTTTGAATTGTATTCCAATCTCCTTGTGATAACTGCCAACAAGCCATTTACTTTTCCAATTGCTTGCTGTACCTGTATGTTAACTTACTTTGAATACCACTTTTTCCTAGCTGCTAACAAGTCTGGTGAAGAGTCACCAGACTCAAAATGTTCACTGTGCTTTCTCTCTACAGATTCTGCTAGACCTGCTGAGTTTCTCCAGCAGTATCTGTTTTTGTTTCAACTCTCCAGCATATGAAGTTCTTTGTTTTATTTCATGCTAACTTACTTTGTTCCTTACCTTTTAAAATTTTTTTGCTTTTCCTTTCTTAATGATCAAAATGAAAAATCTCACACTTCTCAATTATACTCCATCTGCCATCTTGTTGCCCATCCACAACTCTTAAGATTCAAAAGCTGGAAAGCTACTGGACGGGGGCAGAGTTTTGCACTGTCTTGCTAATATTGCATGTACATTACTTTACTAACTTGGAATTTAATTGTAGATTATATTTGCTGACTATTAAATAGCTCCTTGTGCACTTGGTGGATAAGTCTACCTTTTGATCATTGTTCACATTGTGTTTATTAAACATTTTACACATATAATGTCTACTTTCCTTTATAAAAACTGAAAGAACTGCAGATGTATAAATCAGGAACAAAAACAAAGTTGCTGAAACAGCTCAGCAGGTCTGGCAGCATCTATGAAGGAAAAAACAGAGTTAACGTTTCGGGTCCGGTGACCCTTCCTCTGAACTCTGGGGCTCTGAGGAAGGGTCACCGGACCTGAAACATTAACTCTGTTTTTTACCTTTTACCATTTCTTTTATCATTTCTTTTACCACTCCTGTTTTCAATTTCACTGTTCACTCTCACTTTGTGTTCTCACTGACTCACATTGTATTTCTTAACTGTATTGCTGAATCCTTGTCTTCTCCACTGTTTAGATTTTGTACCTTCATTTAGTTGCTATTTTATAAACCTGCTTTCTCTTTCCCTCTGTTTTACTGCTAATTCTCTCTATTTCTCCAGTTCCATCTCTCTGCTTCCCTTTCTGTCACCCCATCTCTTTTCCCCTGTCTCCTATTCCCCTCTGTCTCTTTCCCAAATAGCTTTGTTTTTAGACTTGGTTGTTCCTTACAATGAGTCATACTTGCTTTTACTGCTGCTGTTGTACCTTTTCAAAACAATCTTAATTAAAAGTTAGAAACTGTTCCTTATGTTCTTGGATTTTCTGTTCCTATGTGTTTTGAGATAAATTGACATGAAAATAACAGAGAATAATGTTGACACAGAAAAAGAGAATGAATGGTTAAATTGAATTACAGTGAGCAGCTTGGCAGAGTTCAGCAGGGCAGAGAATGAGAAATTTGTTACCATCACATGATTGTGGGTTTATTCCCTGTGATTTATAATGCAATCAACATGAGTCAGCAGTGCAAGTCCTTCACACTGTGCACAGCCATGCTGACACTCACTCCGTACTAGACACAATTGCCCGCACACAGCAAACCAGTCCATTACTTCAGAAACATCGATGTTATGCAATCAGACTGACCAGTAGTCCATCAAACCTGAAACACAGTGGCCCAGGGTTGTCTGGAGCAGTCCACCTTGTGGTCGACAAGAGACCTCTTCATGAATGGTTGGCTTTCAGAATATTTTGCCACAGCATTGCTGGAACAAGGGTAACAGAGCATCCAGGATCCCAGGAAACACAAGAGAAATAAAGACAGTAAAGAAAAATTGGATAAATACAGAGACAGAAAGAAAACAAATACAGAAATGAAAATGAAGTACACAGAGCAAGATGCCATTTTCATGCAGAAAATAGTAGAGCAGTGCAAATTATCCAGCAGCTTGTGGTGCTTCTCATTTCTAGAACATCTCTTCCTCTTCGCAAGGGCTGCATTTCCAAAGTCAAATAGGGTCAGGATGGAGGTAGGCAGCTTCAAAATTTCCCATGGCCAGCTGTGTGCTGGTTCCCTGTCACAGGCCTGCCTCCGGACCACTTCCCAAAGGGTCGGGTCACGGTCAAAATGAGGACCATTATGTGGCCAGTAGAGGTAATTAAGAGACCTATTAGAGCCTCTCGTGGAATTTTACAGTTGGCAGGCACCATATGATGACCGAAACACAGCTAGTGACAGGAAGAGATAGCTTCTCGGTGGCAGACCAGGGGCTACCAGCGTTTCAGTGATCTTACTAAAACTTCTACCTCCCCAACCTCCACTGCAGATGAATCCCCTCTCTTTCTTGTACATGTCAATTGTAGCTCTTGCCTCTGATAGTGAAGCTGCTGATATGTCACTGTACCAAGAACAGACCATCTCTCCTTAACTGGATGTCACCCTCCGGTTCATAGTTGACCTGGTACTTTGAGACATCTGTTTTGGGCTAAAGAACGACATGCAGTGGGTAGGGGAGAATCCATTTGTCAAGGTCCATTTAGGTACCAACAACATAGGCAGAACTCAGAAGAGAGACCCAGCTAAGGGTGTATGAACAGCTAGGGACTAAATTAAAAGGCAGAACATCAAAGGTAATAGTCTCTAGATCATTGAAAGTGAGTGAAGTGGGTATGGATCCCTGGTGGACTGACAGCAGTACGTTGGGAAAGTTAGAACTGTGGGATGACCTGCATCTTGACTTTGCTGACAGCAGTGTTCTGACAAATCATATAACAGGACAAAAGAAAAGGCTTTAAACTAAATAGTGGGAAAAGGCATCAGGTGAGGAGAGATATGGTGAATGGAAACAACAAAATAATACAGCAGGACAACAAGTTTGATAATTATTACCATAATGTGACAGATATGAGTAGCTGTTAATTAAGGATAGCATTAGTTCAGTACAAAGATATTTGAAAGATCAAGATGTAGAATCAGTTTGAGTACAGATAAAATGAGTAAAACTAAGAGGTCACTGTGGCAGTTTTTTATAGGTTCCTTGACAATAGTATCCTGCACAACAGAGCATAAGGGAAGGAGTGCAAGGTGCACACAAAAAATGTACCACAATAAACATGGGTGATTTTAGTCTACATATTGACCGGGAGAATTAAATCAGCAAAGGTAGCCCAGACAGCAAATTCAGAGTGTTTTCAGGATAATTTCTTAGAGCAATATGTTCAAGAGCTAACCAGAGAGCAGGTTAGCTTACTTTTGGCAATATGCAAATAGACATGATTAATCAATGACTCCAGAGTTAAGGTGCCTTCTCTTCTAATCACAACATGCTAGAAATATATATTCAGTATGAAAGAGAGAGGTTGTTACAACCATTACAGGAGGAATGTGCTGATAATCAATTCCCACTACATTATCATTTGCACCATCAGTATAAATGTGTCAATGTAATCAATAAAATGGTTACAAAAACAAAGTTGTTGGAAAAGCTCAGCAGGTCTGGCAGCATCTGTGAAGGAAAAAACAGAGTTAACGTTTCGAGTCTGGTGACCCTTCCTCAGAATAAAATGGATAATTGATTCCTTGTATACTGCTATTCAGAACTGAAGACACTTTCAAGCCGATGTATATCATCAATTC